GAGAGAGAGAGAGAGAGAGAGAGAGAGAGAGAGAGAGAGAGAGAGAGAGAGAGAGAGAGAGAGACCATAGTGGGGATGGTGGTAGAGGAGTGGTATGAATGAGGTAGTGATGAAACTGGTTGTGTAATGGAGGGTGATAATAAAGAACCTTCAGAAACAACCTCTTTTATTAAGGAGGCTTACTCTCCATGCCACGTCAACCTTCATAATTTATACCATATTAGCAAAGAAAAATTGGCATAGCAACCATGATACAACTTGGTTTCATCTCAATACACTGATCGATTCTCAATTTGGTGGTGTAAGAGGTATAAAATTTAACTAAGTGACATTTTAAATATGAAATTCATACTTTTTTATCCCTGTAAAAAAATACTAAAAATAAATTAAGTATGGTATAACGAGGGCCAAAATCACAAATGAAGACTAGCTAAAAAAATACTACATTTGCAAATTGAAACTTTTTTCGACTTCAGAATAAAAAAAATCCATAACCATTATTTCTCTCTAAAAATAAAAAAGAACACCTGCCAAAATATATTGCATTCAAGGAGAGTAGACTTCTAAATGAATCAAAAGTGGCATTGGCCAACTAAGCCAATTGCATTTAAGTATATGTACGTTGTTCTTTCTTAAAAGAACACTAAAATATGTTAATGCAACAGATGACATGTGTGGTGCATGGTACCTGGATATATTATTCAAATATAAAATATAGGGACTTTCGTGAGTCCTTCGGTAAATAATTAGTCAAGGATCTGGCATGTTTTGAAATATTTCTTTAATCTCTGTAAATAAACAATTTCTTTGCCATTTCAGCACGTTGTGATTTGCAAGACCCACGCCAATATATAAGTGTTTAAGTGAGTGAGAGATTTAATTCGATATAAACCATTGTGGGTATATAGATCTACAAATATAGATTTGAAAGGCAAAAAGATGGTGAAGTCATCTTGTTACGACAACGGAGTGAAGAAAGGTGCATGGAGTGAAGATGAAGACAACAAGTTAAGAGCTTACATCCAGAGATACGGCCATTGGAACTGGGGTTTGCTTCCCAAGTTTGCTGGTATAATTACAAGTCGCTTAAGCTCTTGAATTTTATTGTATATATGTATTCCGACACTTGCTTATTATTATTTGATTTCCTTTGCTTAGGTGTATCAAGAAGTGGTAAAAGTTGCAGGTTGAGATGGATGAACTATCTCCGCCCAAACATTAAACATGGAAATTTTACAAAGGAAGAAGACGATCTGCTTATTGATTTACATAAAAAGCTTGGAAACAAGTAAGTACAAATAATTTAAACAAAACAATTTAGCACCTTTTCACATTGATGTTTCTAAATTGATTTTAATCTTTTATATATAAACAGATGGTCAACAATAGCTGCAAAGCTACCAGGAAGAAGCGACAATGAAATAAAAAATCGTTGGAACACACATTTGAAGAAGAGAGCTCAGAATGAACACACTGAGTCTTCAAAGGAACACTTAGGAACTCTAGAATACCATCAGGCTACCTCTAAAGAAAATCATGTTAACAAAACAAATCTACAACATCAACCTGAAGTCGGAACATTATTTGCAGGAGTATCATCTGAATCTCCATCAGATTCTTCAATAACAGAAATATCATCGTGTCAGTTGAGTGGCTCAGATTGTGCAGTTTTTAGTTACTTTACACCACAAACATTCGATGAAGAACTGATCGGTAATTTCTGGAGTGAGCCGTTTCTAACAGACATTGACGCCATTACATCATCAGGAAATAACCTGTTGTCACCTTTTAATTTTGTCAACGAGTTCGACTCTCAAACTTCATGCCAGGATTTGATGATGACGGATGATCAGTGTTTATGGTCAATGATGGATTCATATATTGAAAACAATATCTTCTTAAATTGAACACCTAGTTCAGTTCAGTTGGTGTCTTATCTTCTAGATTTCCCTTGACTATTTCTCTATTTGTGGTATTGTAAATATACCGCCACTACTCTCAACAGTTTTTTTCCCGTTTCATTAGTCCCATCTCTGAACAATTAAATGACATTTTTTTAGTCATGCTGCTACCCTTCCGTTCAATATATAATAGTTGATTAAAATAAAGTCAATACTTTTCTTGACGTTCGTATGTAATAAAATTCGAGCAACTCCATAATGTTTGAATAGTTGGTGCCTTGGTGGTAATACTAAAATGGCATTATAGTAATTTGAACTCCATAAGGCGATACTCGTATGGGAAATATCAATCATATATATATATATATATATATATATATATATATATATATATATATATATATAGAATTAGAATCATATATAACATATAAGTATTGTGTGAATGTATGATTAAATATGTTCCAATCATTTTAAAATGGCATTATAGTAATTTGATTAATTAAATTAATTACGTACTATAAAATTTAAATCTCTATAAATTTGGAAACGTAATTAATATTTTTATTTCAAATCCACCGTTTTAGGAATTAATCATTATTAATCTCTTTTTCATGCTAACCCTATATTACGATCATCAGCCTCCATTTTATTTTCATCGATCATCTTGTTAGTCTGTCCATCATTGACATTTTATGATATAAAAGAAACTTTAACAACACCATTTAAATAAGCAAATCTAAGTGGGAAAAATCAAATTGCACAATGTTTATGTACACCTCCAATTGCTTTCTCTATAATTCAACGTTATTTCATTCAATTCATCACGGTCCATATATTTTGATTTATGTAATAACAATAAAAAAATATATAATTTATTATTATCCATTTCTGAGAATTTAGCTTTCAGTTTCAACTAATTAGAGTTTCATGATTATTAATTCATTTGGAATAATATTTAGTAGATTAAACGAAGAATTGAGTTTCAAATTTGAGAATTGATTTTCTTAATTCACGTAAGTAATTATGTTGTATGGTTGTAATTTTATTATGGATTATCTTCAAATTATTTTTTAATTTTTTAATATTATGTGGCTGAATTATAAAATTTAATGTTCTAATCTCATTCTTTGCTACTCGACAATGGCTTGCCATGGTTAATTATTCTTCAAGAATTATTATAGTTGTATAAAAAGATTTAGACAGTAGTTGATGGTGGTACTAAAACAAAAAATTATACATTGTATTCTTCAAGAATGTTTGAATTTTTCAAATGTATTTAGTTGCATAAAACTTTTGTGGTACTACAGAGCTACAAATAAAATTTTTGTTATTCGCTTTTGCACTTGGAATTAGTGTTTATTCTTCAAGAATGTAGTATTATTCTTCAAGAATGTTTATGCTCTTGCAAAAACACGTTATATTCGTCAAAAATGTCTTATGAAAATGTCATTTTTAACATTATCACCGTCAAGAATGAAGTTTTAACTAAAAACTTATTATTAACCATTTCATAATATATAAGCAAGTATATTTCATATTTTTAAAATTTATTCTTAACTTTGTATCATGTTTCATGAATATTACGTATTCGTAAAAAATAAACTAGATTATATTCTCATGTTCTTAAAGAATTTAATACGTAAATGTTACGTATTCGTCAAGAATAGATTAGACCATATCCTCGTATTCTTAAAGAATTCAATACGTAAATAATTCTCAATATGCAAAAGCTATTATAAAATATTCTTAAAGAATACAAATAATCAAATTTCTTTTTATAAAAAAATATTCAAGGTTTTGTAATCATATCAAATGACAACGTAACTAATTTAAAATGTATAACATATAAGTTTTTTTTTAATCTTAATCAAAATTCATTCCCGATTCATACTTGGCATAAATTATTGTTAATCAATTTGACTAATTTACTCTTACATTTATTTAAGTGTAATTATAATATGAATGATACCACATGTTAATACCATGCACCCTAAGATTACAACCTTTCATTATTTTCATCTAATGGTCAGAATTTGGTCATACATTTACACAATAATTACAATTCATATTTGATCCTAACCCTATATATATATATATATATATATATAAGCGTTCAATCGAGAACATTTCTTATCGCGAAAACATTTGAGAACAAATTTTGACCATACAATTTTTTTAAATTAAAATCATCAAATAATATTAATATAAATCAAAAAATAAGTTCAAAAATTAAAAAACCCACTAACCAACAACACTCACCACCCAAACAATACCATCCA